CCCCGATTTTTAAACTTTCTATTATTCGAATCAATCTTTTGGTCCCATTAGCAAAAGAGAGTCAAAAAAAAGTTAGGAGAAATTTACCCTCATCCCTATATATATCTCGAACCATTTTTCGTTTCTCTGGGAGGTTCGAGAAATCGGGAATCCATTGTATATACAAGTCGAACTGACTTACTTTATTTTATTTATTTTATTTATTTTTCATTTTTCATTTTTCATGACTCGCATGACTCGCAACCTGGCTCGCATGGCTCGCATGACTCGCACCCTGGCTCGCATGACTCGCATGGCTCGCTGGCTCGCATATTAGTACAACTCGTAAACATCTGGATCTAGGCGACTGATTATCTGTATTGAACAAACGAGCATTTACAATTAAGCACTTTTCCTAATGCTCTAACTTCTAAAAGGCTAAAAAACTTTAGATAGGTATATAATTTTCTACAAACGCGATCGTAGCTCCGTGTCACGCTCCACTGCCAGCAAAATACGCTGGTTAAATTGTAAACAGATTTACCGTCTCTTATGCCTGGCTCTCAAGTTTTGTCTACGTAGACGTATTCAGAGAGGTAAGATTGAAGATATTAATAATTCCCATTTACGGCAAACAGCATATACTAATGTTTTGGCATTTCTCTTGTATACTTCACGCACCTGACATATACGGGAACATGACATAGGGGCACCTGCCATAAACTTGATAAAGGGGCATCTGACATAGTAGTGCGATACATTAACCATGCAGAGGTACTCATAAACTTTAAGTATTTTGATATAGCGCCCCTATATGTCAGACGCCCCTATTTGTCAGGTAGCGTTACCAACGCCATTCAAGATATTTTCGACTTGGCTTGTTATTCATTGACCAACTGGTCCTGTCACGCGATTACGATTGGTCCGCGAGGCGTGCAAATGTTGAAATTCAGTATGCGCAGAGTTAAGAAGCCACGAGAACAAGCAAGCATGGAGATTATTAAAAGAAACACTCGATAAAGCAGTCCACATAGAAAATTTCCAGATAGACTATAGTCTCTTTACTATTTATTGCTTAAGAGGAGTATTAACAAAGAACTGCCCAAGAAGTGGAAGACGAGTAAAGAAGAGGGGCGAGGCAACAAGAGGTAGAGCAAAGTGAGGTGAGGAGGGACAAACTTCATGTTCATGGGACAAACAGACAAATTTTCACTGTACAGCTTGGGATTAAAGAGGTAAAATGACTGGCGATGCCCCTGAAGGATCCATCCAATAATATGGTTTACAACACTATAAGCTCAATACTTGAGGAACTTTCAATGTGTTGCTTCAAACAAAAGTTGAGCACACTTGAGAGACAGACCATACTATCCCATGATTTGCTTAACAATATTCACAATTTAGCAAAGGTTTACAAGCATACTTGCCTTTTTATTTCCCTTTAATCAAGAGTCATGTTTTAAGTTCAGGTTAAACCTCCAAATAATGAGCTCTTGAGTTCTTGTGACAAGCATTATTTAAATAGTTAAAAAAGCTATAAACTCTCACTTTAACCCTCGTAATCTGGACATCCTTTCAATGCATAGTTTGTGTGTCCTTATGAATGGTGTTCAATTGTAACTGCATAACTTGCAATAACAGTAATTTATTTAACCAGAATAAGAAAAGCAGAAGTGCTCAAAAGTACTCCAAAAGTTGTCAAGCCATCATGGCATGTACATTCAGTTGTTTAGTTACTTAGAGACAAAATGCACTCTGGTATCAGGGACCAGAGTGTGCCATCTATTGAAACACCTCCCACTGACTGAATATCAGCTTACTGTTGTCAAAAAAATAGCCTTAAGGTAACAAGATATACCTATTGCAGTAGTGAACATGCCAACGTGCTGCAAAGTTTTTCAACAACATAAATAAATTACTAACAGTAAAACTGCAAAAACTTCTTGCTTGTTTTCTTCTATAATATTTTCAATATATCAGTCTGTGCCACTGCCACAGCAGCATCAATAAATTATCCTGTTTTCCTACATAATTATTACAAACACTGTTACAAATCAGTGTAAGTATAATATTAAATTATTATTATTTTAAGTTGTAATTATAATAATAATTATAATAATAATTATAATATTATATTTATTAATTATTTATAGGTTAAGAGGTGTGATTTTATCAGAAAGGACAATGTGACCCTGTATACACAATGATATCCACTATCTTTTCAAGAAAAAAGTCAATAGTTCAACTGTATATAATAATGTCATTATGACAGAACAATCTGGTGTAAGTCAGCAAGTGAAGAAAGCTCATAATTCCCTTTCTGTCACTCTCTAAAAAGTAAAATCAGATTCTAAAAGAAGCCTCAAACTAAAACAGAGCATTTTTTCCACACAAGCCATAATACACATCGTATCTTAAGGGGAAACTAAATTTCTAGTGTTTTGATATACTGTGTAACTGAAACAATAACTACAGTACCACTCGACAACAGTATATGTAAGTTACCACCTTTCATCTTGTTTCCACTGAGACAGAGTCTCGTCTCGTGAGAAACAGTGAAGCATATATTTTGGAGCAAATCATAAGCAGTTAGCTTACAAGAAAACTATTAAGTTCACAAGATGTATTTGTCACACTTTGTGAAGTTCTCTGTGGTGTAGCTTCAAGAGGACTAGCTTTACTAGACTCATTACTGTCATTACAAGCAAAAAACTTGAATGGAAGGAAAAAATGAATCCCAACACGTCCTAGTGAAAAATGGCATAACATTGCAGTTTCTCGCAGGTCGCTTTATGTTTTTTTGTTTTTGAAGTGTGTTGAATTTGCATGTTGTGTCAGACAGTTTTGGAATAGAAACTTGCTTTGGGAAGACTCATTACTATCATCACAAATGGAAAATACAAATGGAAACATTGCTGTAACAGTATTCCAGTCGACATGCAAATAGAATTACTTGTAGTACTCTTTCAAAGGACCTAGTCACTTGAAAATCTAAAGCATATGTTACTGTTTCCTTGGAGATTTGTACAGTTATTTTCCCCTCGGTCATTGTACTTTGAGGTATGTCTTACAAACTAACTACAGTTAGTAGGTCTTTCATTGCTAACTTACCACCCTCTCCCCCGTCCCACCCAGCAAAAACCAGTGATGGCAACTTCATTAATAAGGGAGCTTGAATAACCACAGACATTTTTGAGCCATGGAAGGCAACCAGATGTCATGTTATTGATTTTCATCAAGTACCTGAAGTTCTTATGTATCAATCAAAATAATACAGACATAGGTTGATCGATGATTGGGACAAAGGTTGCCCTCTGTAGTCCAAAAGTATCTGTGGTTAGCAAGCCAGCTATCTCGTCAGTCTATCTTGTCCCATGTTGTTCACTATGTTTGTTTTCTCCAGAATTTTCAACAGAAGAGTGATCATCGTGAACCATTCCATAAGGCCTAAGATGATACACCAAATACTCTAACACATACATGTTATTTGGGTTGATATAATGGAATGTCACGGCATGATCAGAACAGCACTCGGGTCCATCTTTATAAGGATTTTTGTCATATGACCAAAGCCAGAAATCCTTGGGAAGATATCCGGGAATAAGATGATGTTCCGGGGGAAGCGGCATGAATGTTTCCCTTCCGCTGGAATCCCTGGTGTAATCAGGTTTGACGCCCATTGCATGCAGACATTTTCCAACTTCTACATCCTCCGCAAAACTTTCTGTTTTGCAGAGAGTAGTATCCCCCAGTGCTTTCTTAAATCTTCGAACTGATTCTCGACTGAACACATAGCCTGCCCCTCCGCTGTTGTACCCCCCAAAAGGCTTGAAATGCCTCCCCAGGTAGTGAGGTTCTTCAGGGTTTAGCTTTGAGACCAGATGGCGAAGATTTTCAATGACCACAAAGGTATCATCGTCTGCTTTAATAAACCAGTCCGCGTCGTCAAGGTGGTGATCGTAAATGTAATCCCAAGCTGCACGGGTTTTTGACCACAAGTTTTCACGACCTTCTTTAACATCAAGTCCAATCGCAGGAAAGCTTGGGTCCGCTTGAGAGCTCATGAACAAAAGAAGGGTGCACCGTTTTCCCCAAGTTTCCTTCACCGGTTTGCCTTTGATGGGCAACGTTTTAGGACTTGTCATTACCCAGCATAAAATCCGTATTCTTTTCTGTTCCTCTTCAGCCTCTTTGTTCAAAGAAAGATGGTGGTGATGGTCTTTCATATCGGCATCAAAATCTACAGGTGACTCGACTTTAAACTTATTACTGTCCCTGTGAATAAGTTTACGCGTGATATCGTCCAAGGCAGCGTCATGGTTCTCTTCCGGAACGAAAAATTTGTGAATAGTTTCCTCCTGATTGAAGTGGTTTAGCACAGTGACGATCAAAACTCCAAAGGAGACTCCCAGGGCAAATGCAAGAATAGTGCCTCTAGCTGTCGCCATTTTCGAATTCTCACTTCATTGTCCTTGCAATGGTCACGCAACCTCGATTTGGTGCATGTACCAGTCTATCAGATCGGACAAAAGAAGAGTGTTTTTTCTCGTGGACATTTTATTTCTATAGTATTGATAAATTTTTGTTTGGCCACAAGCTATGCACCTGTTTTGTCGTTAGGTATCACCTTTTTGGACTCTGTATAGTGATTACAATGCAATATACATTTCGAAGAAGCAACCGTACTGATTGAACACGTCAGCTTTAACTAAATGTCATGTCACGCCTGACCATGAGTTCTTGATCAACACACCTGGAACGTCAAGTTTGAGTGAGCTTCATTGTATTTCGACACTTAAGATGCGCTTAAATACAGTCAACTGTCGTGAAGCTAAAGTTTATAATCCAGGCCTGGGTTGTTCGAAAGGTGGATAACGGAATTTACCGGATAAATCACTACCGAAGCGGCGGTTTTGATAACAGTCTTAACACTTATCCACTGGATAGCGAATTTATCCGTGACATACATTTATAGTTGAACATTAGTCTACTATGCACTTGAATCGCCCACAAAGTAAAATGTTACTTGAGTCTGAAAAGATGATAACCGATCAGTGTTAAAAGAACGGAAAGACAGAACGGACAAACAAAATAATACAAGAAAGAAAGAAAGCATGCAAATTTCCCAGCTAAAATGAACGGAGGACTGGGGATGAGTGATTGACAGATCTAGGCTGAATTTTATAATTAAAATTTATTAGAAAATCGAAAAGTAAAGACAAAATGAGTGACCAAACTTTGGTTAACTGAAAAAGAGAACAACAACAAAAAAAAAGTAAAAAAGAAAAAGTAACAAAGAAAAGCAAAGAAAAAAAATATTAACCCTCCCCGGCGGGGAATCGAACCCCGGTCTCCCGCGTGACAGGCGGGGATACTCACCACTATACTACCGAGGATTGGGATACTATAGACATGAAATTTAATAGATTTATTACAGCTGGCAAAAGAGAAATGGCCAATTAGTCATTTTGATAAAGAAGTATAGTATTCAAAACTAAAGTTCGATTTACCGAAGTGCTCTGAACAAAAATACGGTACGACTCCGAAATGCGACTGTCAAAATTGGATGGCTGAATATTCCAATCTGATGTTCCTTTTGTTAACCCCAAAATCTGCCTGACGACATTTCCTTCATATAACTGGCCACCGACTTTCGCTTGAAGTAAGATTTTCTTCCTCATGCTGATCGTTTCGCTTTTCGTGTGCTGATAAAAAGCCTTTCCAACCTTGTAAGCATACCCCTGGCCTTCAACAAAATCGCGGATTGGCATTTTCTTCTTGATCGTCAACTCGACGAACTTTCTAGCCTCTACTGGAACTAACATAGACGTCAAAGTATCGAAACTCAGTTTTTTTTCTGTTTTCGCAGTCGATCTTGGATACAAACGTCCTGTAAAGAGCTGAGCAAAGCGCGATTTCCAGTCTTCAGCTCTACCAAGATGAGCTGAAATCTTCCGTCGGTTGCAGAGCTGCCGCACATGTGATTTCCACAGGATGTTGGAATTCGATATTTCATTCCACTGGTGACAAACTTGGCTTGCAATGCACAGCGCTTTGACATCCAGAAAGGAAAATATAGCAAGCAAAATATCTTCTCCGACAAATTCCATGATCGTAACGAGCGTGTGATGGATGATCGGATGGAGATATCAATCGAGCAAATTTTGGCGCGCATTGAGCCTGCGGTAGGTGCAGAGTGTCCTGCGGTCTGTTTCTGAGGGGAAGGGTTTCGAAGTTCAGCGCAGTACATCAACTTTTTCGTCGTTCTTTCAGCTGTTTTTTCATCGATGTAGGTGACTTCCTTTGGTGTACGACTTAAATAGTCCTTTGTTGGTGTAAAGATGGCAGAAGACGAGGTGAAAAAGACCGGAGGGCAAGTTGATGGTAAGCGACTACCGCTCGCTTCAGTTCCTTTCCAGCTGCGGAGCTGATACGACGGGTCTTTTCCGGATTCCAATCAAAGAAGAAATCTCCTAATTAGTATTAATGCAAACTGGTGACCTAGTATTCTTAACGATCTTATTCCTTTTATTTTGTGATCAAGTGTTCTTGTAAGTGCACTTAAAGGACATGAACAGTCTGACATTACATCATGTGAATATTAATTTTACTTGGCCTCAAAAGCTTGCTATAGACATGTGACGTTTCTGTGTGTCATGTGCATTCATGTTGGCTGAGTTCGAATATTTTCCTGTTCAATCATTTTAAATTGAGTTGAATTTAAAACTACGTGTCTCATTTTATGCCTTCGAATTTACCTTTAAATTTTTTAATTTTTGGGTATATTTAGTAATTCTCTTGATTACTTCATGTTTAACACACAAACAATAAGACACCTCTTATTGAAGTGTCAGTGCTAACATACTTGTAACTTGTAGATGCTTGAAGGTTTATAAATTAATTTTGCTTAACCTTAAAAACGTACAATTGGATTGGCTAAAAAAACTTTCTACATGTTTTGGATACTTTGATAGAATGGTATAAGGATCCAGCTTTGGGATGACTCCCCCCAGTCCAATAGTTTCTGCCCCTCTCTTTAATACTACATGAATACGACATGTAAGTCAGCTGTCACAGCAGTCACAATTATTATGCTGGCACTCGAAGTTTATGGAGATTTTCCACTCTGTGATCATGGTTTTTTTCTAAACATTCTAACCAAGCTTACTCAGGGTCACACTGAGTGATGAATAGCAGCTCCCGGGCTGCCAGGGTTGATATTCTCCCAGTGTGATTCAAGTGGTTGGTTACCAAGATGCAATGTACGGTCACTTACCACTTGATATTGTTTCCTTCATGAGAGACTATAACCTGGAAAATATAAGCAAATGGTACAGACGTTTATGACTTTCTGTTCCGAATGGACAGAAAGGGGTACCTTAATAGGTACATGTACATGTATGCTTAATGTCTGAATGGAATTATTATCTCTGGCAAGGTTCTTTTGTCATCAATTATGTGGCCTGGTTTACACATAAGTCAATGTAAGTTATTTCTATTCACTTGTTGTAACTGTTCACTGCCATGACACCTTTTGTATTGTTCTTCGTTTCATAGAACTCTGTCTGGCCCTCATTGACGCAGCCAATGATAAGCAGCAGGAGGTGCGGCAAATGATCATGACATCTCTTCATGAACTCGGAAAGAAACAGCCTGAAATGGTTTTGAGTGCTATAAAGGGATATCTTATAAAACATCAGAAGGTACATGTACATGTTTATTCTTATGATAACAAAACTATAATTAATTTGTATTAGTATGTTAACATGTACTAATACAAAGTTGAAAATTTAAATAATTATTTCGTCTTGTTCCGCCTCATTGTGTTCATTGTGCACGTTTCGATATTTTGTTGTCGTTTTTCTCAGAAACAAAGTGCAAACCAGCCAAAAAAAAAAAAATACAGGGGAACGTTTTACTACTAAATTGAAAAGCACATGCCAAAATTCAGGCACTTTTGAAGAAAAAAAATTTCACTCCAAAAAGTCACTTATGTCAGTCTTGCACCAACCCATTATTGTTTATATCAGGGTGAGTCAAAGTTAGAGAAAGCCTTACCTATATAGCTACATCCTATCCTCTCAGAGGGGTCTGATCTGTGTTAAAAGGTGTTTATACAATGGTGGTTAATTCCCTATAACAGGTGACAATCTGGGCATGTATTGTCTTAACCCTTTACCCCCTAAGGCGAACGGCAGTTTTTCCCAAATCAGCAAATGAAGACACTCTGCCTGTGTACAATATGCCATTTGAGAGCCACTAATCAGCTTATTTAAGAATTGACATCAGCAGCTATGAAGGAGGTAAANGGACAATTTTCATGGCAAAAATTCATAGAAATGTATCAAATATTCACAAAGTTATGACCTTGTGTGCCAATTTGCACTCTTAGGGGGTAAAGGGTTAAGGTTTGCGTGTACTGTATTCTTAGTTTGGCAACTTAATGATAATAGAGGTCTATGTTGGTTTGAATTATGATAGCAATGTTGCCATTGAGCATTTTCATCTCTGAAGAAAATTTTAGGCCTGGATTGATCAAAACCACCAACACAGTATGTCCTTCACTTGTTCACTTACAACCCTGAAGGGTACAGTACCTTCAGTTGATGGGTAAACAAAATCTCTGTTTTATCTTGAGTCCTCAAGTGAGACCGAAATGCAGAAATTACATGTATGACAAAAAACAAACATACCGATACATACCCATTCATACAGAGACCCCTCCCATAGTCCTCTCCTCTGTACATGGAAATATACTTGTAGCTACCACTCTAACCAATGACAACCCTAGACCACGTCAATGAAGGACCTGATTGATCAGCTAATATTATTTTGTAACACCAAATTCTTTGTTCTACTTCCTTTTAGCTCAGTCAAGGTCACAGAGTAGTACTCCTGAAGTCAGCGTCAAAGATTATTCACAACACACTGAGTACACTTTCATTGGGTTTGGGAAAACAAATGATCAAGTTGACGTCAGCAGAAATGACAAAGACCAAGGTAAGTGTACACTTACTGTCAGTACTAGGGCCAGCTTTTACCTGCAGTGTATCCTTAAATACTTTAATTTATTCCTCTTCTTGAACCACATTGTATTACCATCTACCACGGTGAATAACAACAACCTTTTCCTCGACATTATCTATACTGTTTACAAGGGTTTCGACTAAATTTCAATTCTGACTAGTTATTGAAAATCTTGGAACTTTGCTCAACAGGCACTCTGTCAAAGTACAATCCCGTGCTGAAGCTCAGTGAATTTGCAACACAGGATGTGCATGTAGTTCATGCCTGGTTCTTTTTTTGTTGGAATTGGTCAACATAACATAACATAACATACCCTTGGTGGCTCAGATTTATCCCATAGCATAAAAATACAATGCAGTTAAATGCTTCTGCAGGGTGTAATGTGAAAATCCCACTCAAAATAAATGCCAATCATAGTAAAACCAAAACCACTTGAAAGTAATTGCCTGTCAATGATTACTTTCGACACCCAATTGAAAACCACTCTATGTCGTTGTTGTTAATCAATAGGATGTGGAGCCTGATTGGCAATCAGCAGCCTCCGAGGTGTTGGTTGCTCTGGGTGGAAGGTTTGATCATGAGGTTATGGCAGAACTTCTGGAAAAGCTGGCTCCAGGAACACTCCCTCACTACTTTGTTGTGCAGACACTAGCATCCTTTTCCACTTCTAATCGTGAGTAGATCTTTCTTAGTTAGTACTATTATGTGTACTGTCACGCGTATTGATTTCATACAATTTAAATCATGATATCAGTTGCTTAACTTGTTGTACATAATCAGTAGTTGACTCTTCACCCTGTCTTGTTGGTAGCCTCAATAAACAGAGAGTTCAGCAGCCAGCTCTTCATGCTAATCAGAGTGCTCAAATGTACCCCTTTCCCCCCACTGGCCCCTCCTCTCACGGTCCCCATTGTATACTTGCCCACTGAGATCCAATTGAGGTTTCACTCAGAAATTCCACACTGAAAACATAACCTTACAGTGATTGCAGTCACTGTCTCTAATTCCCAGTATCTCAGGTATCTCAAGTACATTGTAATAGAGAGACTATAAAAACATCTCTCTGCTTAATTATAAATATGTACAATCAAATCGCACATCACAGCAGGCAAGGTCAAGAGACATGTATTTACTTACAGCCAACTCAAGACAGACATTTAACTAACAATTTACAATGTCAAGATGATACTTAAACTTCAGTAGTAATTTTGAATAGTAATTTTAATGGACTGTTTCTTTCATTCACAGCCTTTGGTGTGGTGCCGTTTCTCAAGGACATCCTTGGACGAATGTTGCCCATGATGGGAATGGCTAAACAAGACAATTTAAGATGGGTTATAGCTAACTGTAAGTAGAGTGCAATTTATTGTGATGAAGTTTACACTAGCCTAATTTACAGTATGCATGCAAGGTGGGTACTAAATAAAAATAAGTTTGGAACTCAGATTACATGTATAATATATGGATGTTAAACACGAAGATAATTACATCTTTTGTTTTGTGTATCAAAACAGACCAAACAAAGCTATTCTCAACTAGACTTGTGTTTTTGTGTTCTATTCTTGGGCAAGCCCCACTAAACCCTCACTCAGTAGTGTATTTTTCCACATGTATAATTTAAAGGTACCAGCAAATTGTTAGGGAAATGTGACAAGATAAAATATGAAATATAACAAATGCTATTTGTTGGTCAACCTGTGATGGCTAAGCATTCCATCCACAGGATAGAAGCAATACTCCTTGCCATTTCATGCTACAGAAACCTGGCTAAGCTCTGGCAGTTGTCAGTCTGTAGTTTCTGTAGTTGTTTTTGGTGCCTGAAGTTGTTTTTTGACTGCCCTCATACTCAAGAGAGGTGATTCCACTATTAAAATCAATGGCTCTGTTGACTGTGTTGAACTCAGAGGATAGCTGTGTCTAAGTTTATTGTCATACTGGGAAGGGACTGATACACGCTGAAGTGAAATAACATTTTTCGTGTCACACCTCATAGGTCTTGCGAGATTTTGTGAGAGTATTGTTGACTATGTGGCAAATGCAGAGAATGCACCATACCCAGACATCTCAGCAGAGAGATTCTATGGTGAAATCTCCTCAGCTTATGACATTCTGTTCACTGTATGGATCAAAGCAAATGAACCCAAGGTACATATAACTGTATGGAATTATAACATAGGGTAACTAAGGATAAAATCTTCTGCTATTTGGAGATTTCACTTGAAACTAAATAAACACTGACCAATATAAGAGTACCTGAGGAATAAGACCAGAGTTCCCATTAACACACGGGTGTGTGTCTTATATGCACAAGGAATGAAAAGGACGCACAGTTTTTTTGGCAAAGTGCATCCTTGGGATGCAGGAAAAAAGTTCAAAAAATTTTAGAATATAAGTAAAGGACCCAAAAGAACCCCCAGCTCTTTGGATCTGAGGGTCCCAAGGACCCTTAACAATCAAAACTAGTGGGAACTCTGTTAAGACTAGTTAGTGTAACTAACAGAAGGGACCTGGCCTCCCAGCCTCCCCTCCCTCTCTTCACTACATTATGATAATGATGCCAACACAACCACAGAAGTCATCCCCCACTTCCTTGTTAGAGCAAGACTGGACCCACTTTAGCATGGCCCCCCCTTGCTCTGTGCCTGTTTATGCCATCTCTGTATCCACCACTATGTAAGACTCAGAAGTGAGTTTTAATTCCCAGTCACTTTGTGTCATTTTCCCTTGCTCTGAGCAAAAGGCGTGTGGTCGGCCCATTCCTACAGTCAAGTAAACCAGCCAATGACCTGTGCATTTTTTTTTACCTGATCTAGATTCGACTTGCAGTGGTGGATGCCATTGGTCACATGACACTCGTCATGGCAAATGATAAGCTTGAGGAGCAGTTACCAAAATTACTTCCTGGGATTACAGGGTTGTACAAGAAACATACAGAGCACTACCTCATAACGCAGGTAAAGTTACTATTAAGTTGTAATATGTAATAAGGGTTTTATCAATGGCCGGGCACTGGGTAAGTTGGTCGGCTGTGGGGATGATTTTTCCCACCTGGTTTGACCATCTATCATCTTATAAAGAAGTTCAGTTCAAAATGTTTTGCCCACTTGTGAAATCCAGTTGCCCTTCTGCTAAAAATGGTTATGAAACCTCTGTGATTGTATTGTTTGCTTTCATTTACACAGGGTCTCTGTATGGTCTTAGAAGCCTCTTGTAAGAATGGTGGTGGAATAATTTTTAATTTAGTGGACAATTTGTTGGTGGGATTGCTCACTATGGTAAGTTTGATCTCATGGCAAAGATAATGGGAATAAAGCATGTATTGTTGTTGTTGCTTACCAGGTTGATTTTTAGAGATTTTGATTTTATTAATAAAAGCTTTGATTTGCTTTTATTAATTTTGTGCAGGAGGGTTCAAACCAGTTAATATAATGAAACTGGCATTTTGAAAGTCCTCCAGTAGTACAGTCCTTAAACATGTTTTTTTCAAACTAACCTCATTTAAATTTTAAAAAGCACAAAAGCTCTGAAAGGTTTCATTTTGAGAATTCTGAGCGACCAATATGATGTCCAGAATTCCTCTTTTGAGATATTAATTATAGTCTTGAACCTGTTCAGTAGTAAGTGGTTTGATAAAAAGAAATGGACTACACAACATTGTAGATTATTGTAGCGCACATTTTTAGTATCTAGACTATTTTAATTATTGACATTTCAAGTTATATGTGCCTGTAGTTTCTTTCCCACACGCATGCTTCTCTTTTGCCGTCAGGCATGCACTTTGCCAGATTATTCCAATCCAGTCTCAGTGAAGAATCATAATGAGGTTTTGAGATGTTTTTCAGTGTTGAGTAAGTATATACTGACACATGTTTGTTATGTTAATAGTAACAAAGTAACAATTAAGTAAATGGAGTCCCAAAACTAACAACTTATTAGATGTTAAATTCTGCTTGCAATTAGTAGTTTGGACCTTACGACTAATAATCAACTGAATTATAAGCAATTTCTAAATGAGCTTACGTGTGTTTAGCCTGTGATATAGGAAAATAGGGAAAAATTGAGAAGCCAAGCAGTCTTGCATGTAAGGTCTTCCTCCCCAGACCACACTCGGCCAGCTCGACTTGCCATTTATTTTTTTCTCTCTGTTCCCCACAAGGGAGCCTGTTCCCTAGCTGCTACAGGCTGTTACATGTAATCTGCATGCATGTGTTTGAAGGTTGGCATCTCTGAGACAGAACATTTTGCAGGAAGGCTAATGTTACTTTGGTTGCCTGCATTCTTTAGCTCCTACCTTCTCTGACCGTGTCATTGCATTCTTGCTGCAAAAGTTGGAGATGAACAGTGAAAAGACTCGAATTGCATCTCTGGCAATTATCAAGCACCTGATCAATTCCTCTGGTGAGGGAAGCAATTTACATGATTGTTAACCAGTTCAACTTGATAGCAGGGGTGGGAACGGATAAATTACAGTTGCAAGTGGCTGACACACCTGTCTAAAACAGATCTGTGCCATTACTGCCAAAAAAGCTAAACTGACCAATCATCACAGCCAAGTCAATCGGATAGTTTTAATGGACTAGACTCCATTGACTGGCAAACATTTTACTTGACTTGATCTGAAGATGACTTCGACTCAGGGTGTCAAAATGTCAGTCACAACAACAGTTCTTTTCAGAACTATTCTCATCCAAGATGATCACACTAGATGAATGGCTTGTAATGTGTATTTAATCCAGTGATTAGTGGAGTTTTTCATTGGTGTACAGCTGTTCCCTGATAAATTTAGTTTAAATGATGATGATGATGATGTTGATGATGATGATGATGATGATGATGATGATCATGACATTAAATAACTCTTTATTTATTGAGGCTCATATTTGGAGAATAAGGAAGAATTGATCATCTCAGGAGTACAGATCCTTTTTAATGACCCAAATTTGAAGGTAAAAACACAAAATACCATGTACTATTCAGACAATATGTCTGGGCAAAATATGACATGTAATTATACCTCTCTGGTTTTAGAAACCTACTTGTAAAAACTATATCATTGCTAGACTGTAAACATATCAGACGAACAATGTTTTTTGACAGAAACAAAACTTGATGAGGCAGCTCAAAATACAACGAAAGAGGAACAAAATTGTCATACATTTCTACATACATTTGTAACAAATCAGTCTTATAAAAAGAGATTTATTATGAATCACACCTGATTTTTGCCAGCAATAGTGGTAAATATTAACTATAATAATTAAGCTGAATTCTCGTTTTTATGCATCATCCAGAGGACTGAATTAGTCATGTATCATTTGGTGTTTGTAATGAGTTGTTCCATTGCTGTGTAAATGTAGGTCCGACACATGTTTGCCCAGTGCATCACAGCCATGGCTCATCATCAGTACCTAGAGCTTGAGGGTGGCCACAAACTGGTTGAATTTATAGTCAGACAGTGTGCTGTTAGTGATGAGGAGGTTGGTTGTGTTATACATTTATGTTCAATGTTCAACAGGCCTTGCAACGTACATATTCATGTACTTTCGTGTAGTGCCGGTTGTAACTTGTGAACACTGCATAAAATAACACATAAAATGTTACTCATTCAACCAACATGTGTCAGTGATACATGCATACAGCATAGTTAATTAAACTGGAACCATTATATATAATTATACAGTATTTGTATCACTGTGTACGAGTAAATAAAAAACAGCACAACAAGTTTTTTTTATTACTTTTACCACATCTGGTTTAGGCATTTAAGGGAATGTAAATTAAAAGCAATTTGTCAAAAAAGAAGGAAATGTAAACCATTGGGTCTTCAGAGGGATGAGTTAGTGACACAAGCTGCGTCAACCCAAAATTTTGTGTTGGGCCAAGTGTCCCTCTCTGCCAGAACATTATCCCAGTTGTAACATTAAGAGACCAGACTAGGGCATGAGTATGTATTTCTACTCCCCCTGGATGGAATGCTACGGAATTGAAGTTATCTCCAGCGTTACATTCGCTAGTATTGTTTAAATTTTATACTCTTAGGAAGAGAGTCACTGTGGGAATTAAATTTCACTGCCAAAAATGCGATGCAATTATGCCAACCAACCTCAACAATTACAATCTTTTCTTTTGCCACAACCTTGTTCATTTTTTACAGTCTGTGCCAGGTGGAAACTGTATTGCTCATTTGCTCATCAGATTTCACAGTCAGATGCCCCTTGAGTTCTTTGCTTTCTCACTTTCTCTTCTGAAACTTTGTCTTCTACAGAAATCAAGAAGACCAACTGACATGGATTCCATAACCCCTCAAGCATTGCAGAAAATGTGTGAAAACATTCTTTTTCTACTTACAACAACTGTGGATGTCATGGAGCCGGTGAGCAAATAACACAAAAAATGTACATGGAAATACATTATTTTACATTACAAAGCAACATGGTTAGGGAAGGCAAAGAAGAAGTTGCTTCTGCTGAAGTTTCATGTGTCCCAGCAGAAGATTTTTCTCCAAGAATCAATGATAGCATTGCATTTTCTAAGGTTAAAATTGAAGTGTGCTTGTTTAATCTTTTTTGTTCCCTTCATAGGTGCTCTGGCCTTATTTACTGGAGTGTCTTGTTCCTGAACCTTTCACTCATGCCATGAATCCTCTTTGTCGCTGTATTTGCCACTTGGCCACCAAGAAACGAGAAGAGCAGGCAGAGAACTTTGCTATAAACTTTGATGCAAAAAGTATGTGATACACACTCCCTCCTTCTCTCTTACAAAAGACCCCTTAATAATGTTGTGTTTTTACAGAACAGAAAAGAGGTGCATTTGTTTTAGGTTTGATGCATGGGTTAGTAAAAGTGAGTGTGGAAGAAATCAAAAGTGTACGTTAATCTGAACCTGAATCTATGCCTAGATCTAAATCAGAAAATAAATATTTATTTAATAATATTTTATCCAGTACATCTAAAAGGTCCAGCTCTTAATGGTTTCATGACTAATTGGTAGTTGATTTGTACTGGCATTGCAAACGACAGGAGTTAGAATTCTGTTCAAATCCCCAACTTTTTCCGGGTTTAATTTAAGATTTGTATTCACACCTGTAGAAGTCATTAACCCTGAACATGTTTGATAAGGTGGCATGTGGTCCTTTAACCTCTTTACTAAGACATGCCGTTTCTCTTTATTCATAACAGCCAACATACCACGACCAGTTGCTATAATTTCACGTCTACTGGTGAGTAGAAGGTTATGAGTTTGATGTGAAAGGAGCATCTTGCACCAGGTTTAATAAGCATTTACTCTTGAGCTTGTTGCTGACGTACAAGTGGCCTTTCATAAACTGCTAAGTAAACATGAAAATGAGATTTAATTTACAAGAATCTTTTACAGAGGCAATATAAAAAGCTTTTAAATTGGTATAAAATAAAATCAGCTTTCAGTGTAGCACTAGTCTATTCCACCTCAGCGTACAGTATTTCAAAATTAGGTGCTGTTTTTATAACCTGCACACATCTTTTTGGATATAACAAAGTCTGCAGGTTAAGGCTTGATAAATCCCATGTTTATTATCCACAGGTAATGTCAGGCTGTCCACTGCCTGGTTGTGGTCGAGGAGAAAATGTCTTAAAGCTTCTGAAGGCCCTTTCACCAATTCTGCAACCAAGCGTAGTTGAAATGTGGGATACGGTGATTCCTAAACTAATGCAATATCTAGAAGGTGGGTAACGTGCTGTAAAGTTCTGTTAAATTATGCCATACCCTCCCCCTCCCTTTCAACACCTTCCTCTCAAACATCCTCTGCCTCCNCCCCCCCCTCCCCACTTCATCCTTGAGCCCCTTGTCCCCTCATTAAAACCACGTGGCAATTATGGTGTCGAATAGTCACGTGAAGTGAATTTTTTCCCTTCACAGAAAATTCGGAAGACAAAGAAAAATGGAAACAAAAAGCTTGGGAGGACTTAGTTCTTAAAGTGAGTGAAAAAAGTTGACAAATAATTGTTTTTCAAAAAAAGCTGTAGATTGGCAAATGCTGTCACAACTCGGTGAAACTTACATTTAGGAATACTAGTGCGCAGGTAGACTGCGAGCAGTCTCTGTTTTTTCGAAAATCCGTGGGGAAGAACACAAAACAAATGAGTGTCTCGCAGCTTTGTATGTCGAGCGACCGCTCACTTCAATTGCGTTGTTCTTTGCGTTCTTCCCCACAGATTTTCGAGCAGAAGAGAGACTGCCCACATTCTAGTACACAGGTTGTACAATGTTATTATGTATAATATATGTTGTGTTTGCCCCCGGCAGTTTGTTTCCAAAAGTGTTGATGAGGTGGATTCGGAGGAATGGTTGTGTTCACTTGGAGCAGAAATGGCAGCTCAAATACCATTGTACTCCTACTTTCCAGAGGAGAAGGTAGAGTAGGCAACAGATTGCACAGTTATCAAGCAATTTAAACTAAGCCGGGATGAAGCGTCATGACTTCTCAAATACGTGAAAAAGAAAGCCGTCTACAGAAGGGAGGGCAAGGAATTTCCATTGCAAGTGCAACGGAAGATTCTGAAAGTGTCTCCAATGTAAAACTGAGTAACCATTTTCCCTCTTTCCTTCCCTTGCAATTCTCGTGATTCTGAGTTCCAAGCCCCAATATCAAATTTTTTGTTAGTTAGTACCATTTTTCATGTTAGCTGTAGGAAATTGGTGGTGCATCAAGACAGCAGCATTTCTTATTATTTTTATTACCCGTTTCCGTGACAATGTTGCATTGTTTTGAGACGAAATTTAGTGTCAATCACTCTTGGAGTTATAACTTATAACCTACAATTATGCCTTATTATCATATGTTGTCATGACTATTTACAACACGTTGTCTTTTATTATTTTCCTGTACACAGAATTTCCTTTTCAAGTGCATGGGTGTTGTTCTGAACAAAATAGCGAACAAAGACTTCGTTCACACCCATCTTAACATCATGTTTAATTCAGTGAAGCATGCAAGTCAAGTGGAAAGGGAGGTCAGAAATGTGTCCTTACCTTTGTCATTCACTATTTAAACGGTCCAATTTATTTTTGGCTCATTTCTGTTGGTCACAATTCTTCTCTTCTTTTTGACGGACATGTTAGGGCTGTGCAATAGGTATTGGATTTTCTGCTGGGACCAATCTTGATCAAGTACTAGTAAAACTAGAGCAGGTTTCCAAGAATGAGATGACTAAGAAATCCTCAGGAATCTTGAGTTTCATGAAGGTATGGTGTTTAAGAAATGCAAAGCATGTAACGTGTTTCTATTGCGTTATAGAAACACGAATGGAAGTTGGTAGAATGAGAAATGCTGTGGGAAAACTAGCCGATAGGGCGCAATAAACCAAGTAATCTTTGGAATGTGAGGGGACCCTTTTGCAAGCCAAGTGGCTATGTGTTATAATTTCGTTACATCGTTGGTCAAGAGTAGAGCATTTTTGTTCTTCCCCTTGTGCAGCGTGTTGCACAAGTTTCCAGTAACAAAAGCTGAATAGATCTAAAGCCGAAGCAAATCCATAAAATGTTTTGAATGAAGTTGTCATAAATTCCAAATCCATAAAATGTTTTGAATGAAGTTGACATAAATTCCACTGCTTTATTCATTTTCTGATTGTCTTGCATCTGTTTCTTTCCAGGATAAATCAGATTCTGAAACAGAGAAGATCAAGAGTACAGTGATGTTGTGTTATGGTTACACTGTTTTGTATGCTCCACCAGCGTAAGTCAACAAGCTTCCTTCCCTGAGCGTTATCTAATTTCTTCTCTAAGCATCAGTACGAATCCAGACATGCTAGTCGTGAGACTACAATAACTGATCACTAATGGAAGGTGGTTTTATTATGTATTGTAGAATTATATTAACTACTACCTGTAAGAAATACAGAGAGACAAGAAAAGGGAGTTTGTATGTTGGTATCATGGCATAAAGGGTGGTCGACACTACTACTTAACGGACTTTTTGGGTAGCCTCAGCAGGCAAAGCTAATCAGTGTGCTTATTATGATGACACGATGTGACTCGTGTTTAAAGATGGTTTCACTTGGAAATTGATTTTGCTCAGTTTTGAAATATCGTACTTCATATACTGATATGTTTATTAACTTATCCTTTTTGTCATTGTCTCTTTCCAGATTGATAACTTCTAGACTAGAGACAAGTATTTTTCGTGTCATCAGTCGACACTACGGAAATGTCAAGGCAAGCAACAGATTACAATCTCCCAAAGCCTGTGGGAAAATTTTAAAACTTACCTGTTCATTAATTTTTAACTTAGGAATATAATTATTCTCCTTGAATTCTTTGTTCTTTTGTTGTACTTAGCGGTATTTTGTCCCATTTTCGCTTTCTCGTAGGACGTACATGTTAAACAGAATCTTATTCGTGCAACTGAGCTCATTGGTAAAGCACTAGAACCCAGTCGACTGCAGCAGCCAGAGTTTATCTTCACTAAACGAAAGGAACTTATTGATCACATGCTGGTAGGTCCTGAAGGCAATCTTTACGAAACAAGAAGCGCTTAATAATATAAGAAAGTTGGGAGATAGGCAGTTCTTGGAATTCTTTCCAGGAAGCATTATCCTTGTTCTTCTTCAAATCTGATTTTTTTTTTAAAATATTCTTGCCCATTGAAATAGCTGACATCAAAACTTCGTACTAGTTTTCAGACCAGAAGGAAAAACCATCTCCAAATTCAAACGTAAATGGAAACATCTATGACTCAATTTTTTTTTAGATCAAAATAGCATCTATCTATATAAGGGAGTACCCCCCTCTCCTCAGCTGGGAAATGACATTTCTTAATAAAAACCATCTCACATCTCAATGTGGAATAGAACACTGACCATGTGAATGTCTTTCTGCGTGCTGTGTAGGCTTACATGAAGGCAGAACCAGCTAACGTCGTCACAACAGAAACTAGAGCCCTAGCGATGGACGCGTGCACGAGTCTTGCGTATCCTTTGCAGCAGTGTTGTGGCTGAAGTTAATGGCCTAGAGCTGAGATTATTAAACGAGTAATCAATGTGACTGTCGAAGAATTTGACCATGCGCAAACGTTCATGAGACTTGACAAGAGCTATTTGCATTCCTTAGATAGTTCATTCATGCACTTTCAGTTTTCTTAGTTATGCGCTGATGAATGATTTAACGAAAACTTTCGTCGTTCTTTCATCCCCTGGTCGCCATTCCCCGTTTGATCCTTCTTGATTATTAGCTACTGAACAGAGCAAGAAAAAAAGCCAGGTGCGATTGCCCGGAGGCTCGATTTCCCGCCGTTTTGGGATTGCGGTTGTTCATCCTCCTCTCACGGTGTGGGGCAACGAACGCGGGCTCACAAAACGACTGGAAATCGAGCGTAGATTGCCCGTGGCAAGGAAATTTGGCTCTTGTGCAAGTGAAAATAGAACTTTGGTGGCCTGATGAACGAGTGAAATTAGTCTCGATAGTCTTGAGAGTCGACTGATTATATCATACCTTATATTTCAACTGCGGAAGAAAGGTATACAACTGTACATGGTAGTCATGAATTACGAACAGAAATATTTTCACGGCAGTTATATGTTTTAAATGATTTTTCTTCTTTCAAGTCGTCACGCGGTTTCGCTTTTCTCCCGTAATGTATAAATGGGATTGCCAACGGTACGTTTAACCAATTAGATGGTGTTCCACTTCCTTGACTTCGATCCCCGTTATGAAATATTAGAAAACTAAATCCCAGGTTCACAGATGCTGAAGTATTTGACATGGTTAAAACAAGTACTGACTGTGTGTTTGCAGTCCACGGAGGAGATCGAGCAACGTTCCCTTCTGGAAAACATCACAAGGAAGACATCGACCAGGTAAGCAGCTTTGTATCCTGTGCTGGGTCGCATTTTCATCATTATGGACTTTTCAAGAATTTTGATTTTCAGTAGCCTCTTGGAAGGTGTTAGTAGAGGCGCGGTGACCTCATGGTTAGTGCGCTCGCCCCCGGATCAAGCGGTCCGGGTTCGAGTCCTGGCCGGGAACACTGTGTTGTGTTCTTGGGCAAGACACTTAACTCTGACAGTGCCTCTCTCCACCCAGGAGTATAAATGGGTACCGGCGAATTGTTGGGAAACCTAATGAATTGCGGGGGAGTGACCTGCGATGGACTAGCATCCCGTCCAGGGGGAGTAGAAATACTCCTAGCCGCTTCATGGGATAAGCTCCGGCAGCCATGAGCCAGTCGGCTCCAAAGCTTCACACACACACTTGGAAGGTGGTACTAAGTTTGCCGCAAAAGAACGTAAAGTTTGGTAATTTCATTGATTCAGTGGTCTGCAGGGCAAATCACTCCCAACGGGAGATGATTATACGAGATAACTGTCCGTTAGAGGTAAGACACGTGACCTTTTTTTAACCCATGAAGCTGCAAGAATATTCTTGGTGCATTCTTGTTGACAAATTCAAACTAGTATTTTCGTCCACAGAGTTATCTTCCAGTAATAAAGGGAGTCATTTGCAATTTAATCAAACGTAGTGCTTATAGACCAAACGATTAGATTTTCAGGCTTCGTGATATTCCTGTGGCGTAGACTGCATTTAGAGTTTTCTTAAGATGCATCTTACATTTACCAGAAGTCCGATTAAAGAAACCGCCTTTCTTTCCAGGACAAAGATACCAGCACTTTACTGAAGCAGGCAATAGAAAGTTTACAAATGTTCTTGAAGGGAATACTTCTTCAAGATCCTGTACCACCCACATTCGAAAATATTTTAAAGGTGTGTGGAAATTTAATGCTAGATAGACCAAGGCAAGAGTTGTATATGAAACAGATTAAATATAGGTTCGACAGTGCAGGATGTTTTGCTGTTGTTGCAGACGTGGGCGTATTCTCACCCGTTCCAAATTTAAGAGTAATTTTTTTTTTTTTTCATGCTGTGTTGCTTACAATCACATTTTCAGTTTGAGCGTATTTTCCAGCCGGTAATGACGCCATTTTGAGTCAACTTTGGCTTTTCATATTCACGTGATGCCGTAAGATAGACCCTAAACACTCACGTGGAACACGTTATCCAATAGCTCTTTAGCTTGAAGCGAGTTTCCCGCGCTTTTCATAGATTTAGAACAGGCTGTCTGGAAAGGGTAGGAAAATTGTCGGTGGGTAGACCCTCGACTCTTTCCATTTTTTCCTTTTTTTCCTTTTTGTGGTTTCATATTGGTTCCATTTTAGTTTTTTGTTTGTTTTTGTCGCCTTTAAAGTCTCCTATTTTCCTTTTGGTTGAAGCTTTTATCAAAACCATTGTCGTGCATTTTGTGTTTATTTACATGCATTTTCTGTTTATGTACAGCACATTCAAGATCCTTGGCTATTGTCAACATCCGATGTGGAACGAGAGCGGGCGGTGGACACGATTCTAACACTGTTGGAAACATTCCGCGACAACATGTTACTGACCGTGGGAGGGGTGAGTTCTGAAGTTTCATTGCTTCTAAATACGCATGCTCCAGTAACTACGATGGTCTGATTTTGTCTTATTGAAACCCTGGACATACACTTACACGAACATTTTGGTCGTGCGTTTTGTTTATGCAAGAGCGTTAATGGCACAAAAGTATTTATTGGCTAAATTCAGAGTGGAAGGTAAAAACACTCTTCTTGCTAGTGTTTCCTCAAAATGGGGACCCCTTGTACCCTTCTATTCATGTTTAGCACATTTATGAACTAAACGTTAATACTGTTGTACATGGTTGCACTCAACAAAGTCATCTTCATTTACCGCTAGAAACCAACGTCGTTTATGATGGCTGGTCCGTTATTGGCTCGCCTCATTCCCCGATGTACAGACCCGGTTATAATCATCCGACAAACGGCAGTGGACTGTGTACAATGTGTTCTGAAAATAGCCGCACGATTTGAAGGTATGTAATAACTATGAATTGCGGTGTTAACAGTGGTTCTAGTGAATTGATGAGACCTCCGCAGTTTGTGGACTACGCGATCGTCTAATCATTGGCGTTTGACCATGAGAGACACCTTGTTCTCAACTCAAAATGAACTAACTTGGTCCTGTGAGTGGAGTCGGGCTAACTACAGGTAGAGAATTCAAAGATAGATGGTCTATTTCACATGGGCTGCTATTTGGTAGGAATGTTTTTAAATCTAATCGTCCTGGTTTGTGAAGTGCGATAGAGATTGCAAATAAATGTGATTTTGTCAGTTTTGATGCAACTTAACAGTGAACAATGAGTCGCAAAGCAGTCTCCCAAAACTATCGCATTAGAGTGCGTTTCACGCTGGTATTTTAAACTGTTTTTTTTTTTTTACTGATCATTTCAGGCTATTCGCTGGAAAGTAAAGACGAGCTAGTTGATGCGTTACCGACGCTTAAGCAACGAGCAGCTGAAAATGACGCTAACATCCTGTTTAGTGTGGCAAATGACTTGTCCAAGGTAAGCCTTGTTCTCTTTTGATTTATAGACCAACTTTCAATTGACGTAGAAAACAGTTATATTTCGAGGCGCCATGTTCTCGTGGAAGGCTTAAAGGAGCTACGTCACGGTTTGCGCGTCGTGAAAAGTTTAGCCTACATTTTTTNTTTTGTTCTTCCCCTTGTGCAGCGTGTTGCACAAGTTTCCAGTAACAAAAGCTGAATAGATCTAAAGCCGAAGCAAATCCATAAAATGTTTTGAATGAAGTTGTCATAAATTCCAAATCCATAAAATGTTTTGAATGAAGTTGACATAAATTCCACTGCTTTATTCATTTTCTGATTGTCTTGCATCTGTTTCTTTCCAGGATAAATCAGATTCTGAAACAGAGAAGATCAAGAGTACAGTGATGTTGTGTTATGGTTACACTGTTTTGTATGCTCCACCAGCGTAAGTCAACAAGCTTCCTTCCCTGAGCGTTATCTAATTTCTTCTCTAAGCATCAGTACGAATCCAGACATGCTAGTCGTGAGACTACAATAACTGATCACTAATGGAAGGTGGTTTTATTATGTATTGTAGAATTATATTAACTACTACCTGTAAGAAATACAGAGAGACAAGAAAAGGGAGTTTGTATGTTGGTATCATGGCATAAAGGGTGGTCGACACTACTACTTAACGGACTTTTTGGGTAGCCTCAGCAGGCAAAGCTAATCAGTGTGCTTATTATGATGACACGATGTGACTCGTGTTTAAAGATGGTTTCACTTGGAAATTGATTTTGCTCAGTTTTGAAATATCGTACTTCATATACTGATATGTTTATTAACTTATCCTTTTTGTCATTGTCTCTTTCCAGATTGATAACTTCTAGACTAGAGACAAGTATTTTTCGTGTCATCAGTCGACACTACGGAAATGTCAAGGCAAGCAACAGATTACAATCTCCCAAAGCCTGTGGGAAAATTTTAAAACTTACCTGTTCATTAATTTTTAACTTAGGAATATAATTATTCTCCTTGAATTCTTTGTTCTTTTGTTGTACTTAGCGGTATTTTGTCCCATTTTCGCTTTCTCGTAGGACGTACATGTTAAACAGAATCTTATTCGTGCAACTGAGCTCATTGGTAAAGCACTAGAACCCAGTCGACTGCAGCAGCCAGAGTTTATCTTCACTAAACGAAAGGAACTTATTGATCACATGCTGGTAGGTCCTGAAGGCAATCTTTACGAAACAAGAAGCGCTTAATAATATAAGAAAGTTGGGAGATAGGCAGTTCTTGGAATTCTTTCCAGGAAGCATTATCCTTGTTCTTCTTCAAATCTGATTTTTTTTTTAAAATATTCTTGCCCATTGAAATAGCTGACATCAAAACTTCGTACTAGTTTTCAGACCAGAAGGAAAAACCATCTCCAAATTCAAACGTAAATGGAAACATCTATGACTCAATTTTTTTTTAGATCAAAATAGCATCTATCTATATAAGGGAGTACCCCCCTCTCCTCAGCTGGGAAATGACATTTCTTAATAAAAACCATCTCACATCTCAATGTGGAATAGAACACTGACCATGTGAATGTCTTTCTGCGTGCTGTGTAGGCTTACATGAAGGCAGAACCAGCTAACGTCGTCACAACAGAAACTAGAGCCCTAGCGATGGACGCGTGCACGAGTCTTGCGTATCCTTTGCAGCAGTGTTGTGGCTGAAGTTAATGGCCTAGAGCTGAGATTATTAAACGAGTAATCAATGTGACTGTCGAAGAATTTGACCATGCGCAAACGTTCATGAGACTTGACAAGAGCTATTTGCATTCCTTAGATAGTTCATTCATGCACTTTCAGTTTTCTTAGTTATGCGCTGATGAATGATTTAACGAAAACTTTCGTCGTTCTTTCATCCCCTGGTCGCCATTCCCCGTTTGATCCTTCTTGATTATTAGCTACTGAACAGAGCAAGAAAAAAAGCCAGGTGCGATTGCCCGGAGGCTCGATTTCCCGCCGTTTTGGGATTGCGGTTGTTCATCCTCCTCTCACGGTGTGGGGCAACGAACGCGGGCTCACAAAACGACTGGAAATCGAGCGTAGATTGCCCGTGGCAAGGAAATTTGGCTCTTGTGCAAGTGAAAATAGAACTTTGGTGGCCTGATGAACGAGTGAAATTAGTCTCGATAGTCTTGAGAGTCGACTGATTATATCATACCTTATATTTCAACTGCGGAAGAAAGGTATACAACTGTACATGGTAGTCATGAATTACGAACAGAAATATTTTCACGGCAGTTATATGTTTTAAATGATTTTTCTTCTTTCAAGTCGTCACGCGGTTTCGCTTTTCTCCCGTAATGTATAAATGGGATTGCCAACGGTACGTTTAACCAATTAGATGGTGTTCCACTTCCTTGACTTCGATCCCCGTTATGAAATATTAGAAAACTAAATCCCAGGTTCACAGATGCTGAAGTATTTGACATGGTTAAAACAAGTACTGACTGTGTGTTTGCAGTCCACGGAGGAGATCGAGCAACGTTCCCTTCTGGAAAACATCACAAGGAAGACATCGACCAGGTAAGCAGCTTTGTATCCTGTGCTGGGTCGCATTTTCATCATTATGGACTTTTCAAGAATTTTGATTTTCAGTAGCCTCTTGGAAGGTGTTAGTAGAGGCGCGGTGACCTCATGGTTAGTGCGCTCGCCCCCGGATCAAGCGGTCCGGGTTCGAGTCCTGGCCGGGAACACTGTGTTGTGTTCTTGGGCAAGACACTTAACTCTGACAGTGCCTCTCTCCACCCAGGAGTATAAATGGGTACCGGCGAATTGTTGGGAAACCTAATGAATTGCGGGGGAGTGACCTGCGATGGACTAGCATCCCGTCCAGGGGGAGTAGAAATACTCCTAGCCGCTTCATGGGATAAGCTCCGGCAGCCATGAGCCAGTCGGCTCCAAAGCTTCACACACACACTTGGAAGGTGGTACTAAGTTTGCCGCAAAAGAACGTAAAGTTTGGTAATTTCATTGATTCAGTGGTCTGCAGGGCAAATCACTCCCAACGGGAGATGATTATACGAGATAACTGTCCGTTAGAGGTAAGACACGTGACCTTTTTTTAACCCATGAAGCTGCAAGAATATTCTTGGTGCATTCTTGTTGACAAATTCAAACTAGTATTTTCGTCCACAGAGTTATCTTCCAGTAATAAAGGGAGTCATTTGCAATTTAATCAAACGTAGTGCTTATAGACCAAACGATTAGATTTTCAGGCTTCGTGATATTCCTGTGGCGTAGACTGCATTTAGAGTTTTCTTAAGATGCATCTTACATTTACCAGAAGTCCGATTAAAGAAACCGCCTTTCTTTCCAGGACAAAGATACCAGCACTTTACTGAAGCAGGCAATAGAAAGTTTACAAATGTTCTTGAAGGGAATACTTCTTCAAGATCCTGTACCACCCACATTCGAAAATATTTTAAAGGTGTGTGGAAATTTAATGCTAGATAGACCAAGGCAAGAGTTGTATATGAAACAGATTAAATATAGGTTCGACAGTGCAGGATGTTTTGCTGTTGTTGCAGACGTGGGCGTATTCTCACCCGTTCCAAATTTAAGAGTAATTTTTTTTTTTTTCATGCTGTGTTGCTTACAATCACATTTTCAGTTTGAGCGTATTTTCCAGCCGGTAATGACGCCATTTTGAGTCAACTTTGGCTTTTCATATTCACGTGATGCCGTAAGATAGACCCTAAACACTCACGTGGAACACGTTATCCAATAGCTCTTTAGCTTGAAGCGAGTTTCCCGCGCTTTTCATAGATTTAGAACAGGCTGTCTGGAAAGGGTAGGAAAATTGTCGGTGGGTAGACCCTCGACTCTTTCCATTTTTTCCTTTTTTTCCTTTTTGTGGTTTCATATTGGTTCCATTTTAGTTTTTTGTTTGTTTTTGTCGCCTTTAAAGTCTCCTATTTTCCTTTTGGTTGAAGCTTTTATCAAAACCATTGTCGTGCATTTTGTGTTTATTTACATGCATTTTCTGTTTATGTACAGCACATTCAAGATCCTTGGCTATTGTCAACATCCGATGTGGAACGAGAGCGGGCGGTGGACACGATTCTAACACTGTTGGAAACATTCCGCGACAACATGTTACTGACCGTGGGAGGGGTGAGTTCTGAAGTTTCATTGCTTCTAAATACGCATGCTCCAGTAACTACGATGGTCTGATTTTGTCTTATTGAAACCCTGGACATACACTTACACGAACATTTTGGTCGTGCGTTTTGTTTATGCAAGAGCGTTAATGGCACAAAAGTATTTATTGGCTAAATTCAGAGTGGAAGGTAAAAACACTCTTCTTGCTAGTGTTTCCTCAAAATGGGGACCCCTTGTACCCTTCTATTCATGTTTAGCACATTTATGAACTAAACGTTAATACTGTTGTACATGGTTGCACTCAACAAAGTCATCTTCATTTACCGCTAGAAACCAACGTCGTTTATGATGGCTGGTCCGTTATTGGCTCGCCTCATTCCCCGATGTACAGACCCGGTTATAATCATCCGACAAACGGCAGTGGACTGTGTACAATGTGTTCTGAAAATAGCCGCACGATTTGAAGGTATGTAATAACTATGAATTGCGGTGTTAACAGTGGTTCTAGTGAATTGATGAGACCTCCGCAGTTTGTGGACTACGCGATCGTCTAATCATTGGCGTTTGACCATGAGAGACACCTTGTTCTCAACTCAAAATGAACTAACTTGGTCCTGTGAGTGGAGTCGGGCTAACTACAGGTAGAGAATTCAAAGATAGATGGTCTATTTCACATGGGCTGCTATTTGGTAGGAATGTTTTTAAATCTAATCGTCCTGGTTTGTGAAGTGCGATAGAGATTGCAAATAAATGTGATTTTGTCAGTTTTGATGCAACTTAACAGTGAACAATGAGTCGCAAAGCAGTCTCCCAAAACTATCGCATTAGAGTGCGTTTCACGCTGGTATTTTAAACTGTTTTTTTTTTTTTACTGATCATTTCAGGCTATTCGCTGGAAAGTAAAGACGAGCTAGTTGATGCGTTACCGACGCTTAAGCAACGAGCAGCTGAAAATGACGCTAACATCCTGTTTAGTGTGGCAAATGACTTGTCCAAGGTAAGCCTTGTTCTCTTTTGATTTATAGACCAACTTTCAATTGACGTAGAAAACAGTTATATTTCGAGGCGCCATGTTCTCGTGGAAGGCTTAAAGGAGCTACGTCACGGTTTGCGCGTCGTGAAAAGTTTAGCCTACATTTTTTTAAGTTTGTCGTTTGTAATCCGTGTTAATCTTCTCCATCCTTATCCATCCTTGTTCCTTTATGGTTTATTATTATCTTTTTAGTGTTTTTCTATCTTAGTAAACTGTTATTTTCAGGTTTCCTTCAATTTAAAGGTAATTTTGTAGGTGGCCAAAATAACTCAAAATACCGAGACTGAGCCCCTTAAACAGGGTTGGCTGAGAAGGCAATAGAACAAACGACAGAAACTTTAAACCTAGCCCTTAAAACAAGCGAATGGAATTGCTGGCTATGAAGAGTTGCCTGTCCTCTGTTTATTTCTACTTTGGTTGTACGTCTACCGAGGTCCAAAATCTCGTACAAAGTTCTCTGACCAATCAACGTAAAGATGATGGTCTTTTAATCAGGAATAATCCCACGTTGGCTTTCGCGCGTTTTCCTACTCTTTTTTCCTTCCTCGTTCTGATTGGTTCATTGTGCAATCGACGTGGCTGTTATTGACCAATTGTGATTACTTGGGTCTCGATTCTGTGACAGACCGCACTAAAATAGCGCAAAGCTCATGATACAAGGCTGACTTTTTCCGCGTCGATTAAATGTCTTGGAAGATGTAAATTTGGAATTCGAAGACATGGTGAAGTTTATGTGCGCAAACGAATAAGTTTAAACAATTCCATCTTAAGATTAGCAAGATTCAGTAAAACTGTCGGTAAGTCTCAATGAGTTTCTACGTTGAGTTAAAGAAGAGGCAGGTAGCTGAGGTGGAAAACGATTCTTAGATTCCTGAGGAATGGAGACATGGAGGTAAAAGAGAAAAAACTGCAGATGGTAGGCTCGATTACCAGCCGCTGTATGGAAAGGAGCCCGCGCTCTTCCCCCGAAGTCTCTTCTCGGGGAGGAACGAAGACCGAACACTATAGGGCGGCGGAAATCCAGCCTATCCAGAGGGTAGAAGAGCTACGTTTTGATTATTTTAGCAACCATGTCGTCTATTACACCTTGTCCTACGCTTTTTTCTCGTCAGGTTGTGGCTAAGAAGCTTCAAAGTGAGCTTTTGTCACCGTTCGTCCTTACTCTGTTGGAAGGTTTAACAGACACTCAGTCTCACAGCGCCAGTGGTTCGTGCGTCGTACTCAACAGCATTGTCAGAATAAGAGGGCAGGAAATAAGAAAAGATGTGAGTTTTAACGGAGTCTGGTAATAACATCAATGTGCAAAATGAGAGTCACTCATACAATACACACACACGTTACAACACTATAAAATGTAAACCTTGCAAAGGCTTTCATTTTAAATTAGTATATGCATGGTAGTGATGGACATAGGAGGCAATTAAAGTCGTAAAAGTAATTCAGAGCTGAAAAAAGAAGTGTCAAATAGTCCGTGTAAACTAGACGTTTTGTGCTTGGCCCTTCCACGGTATGCTGAAAAAGTCGTAGTTCAAAAAAACTCTTCAATTTAATCAATTTTTCGTAATTGAAACTTGGGGCTTAACCTTAAAATTGAGAGGAAAAGATTGTCTTCAGAGGGTAGGCATGTCCTACACTCTAAGCTTTCGACTATGTATCAAGATTAGTCTGTTACAAAACCTCTTGCTCGAGGGAAGTGAGTCTGATTTGTTTTAAAATTTACCTGTGAGTAGAAACTTATTTTCATTTGGGTTTTGCAACAGATCTCAATTTAAAAACGAAGCAAACGGCAACTCGCATAAAATTGCTTCTTCAAATCAAGCAAGACGTAAAATACATGTTAGGATAAACATTTCAAGCATATCAAATTTGAAAATGTCTCTTTTTAGTCGTAGTTATTAAGAAGTGGTTGATAGCAAATCGTCCCTCTTTCTGCCAGCCGCTAGTTCTGCCATGTTATAGAAGGACAGTTATTTGTAAAGGAAACTAAACTTCCAATTAAATTTTTTCTCCAGGTTGGTACTTTAGTAAAGGAACTTCACTCCAGCCTTATACACATCACACATACACAAACCCGAACAGGAACTCTCCGTGTATTCAGAACTCTGGCCTCGCATCATCTAGTTCCAGTTTTAACAGCTCTTCTTGAATTCCCACTACCCTGTGACCGGTAAGTCAACAGATTTTGACACTTTGACTTCAGCTTGTTCTCTTTGAAAATGTTCAATATTTCAGATCTCTGGTTTTCCATGAGTCAATTGCGAGAAGACTGGTAATGCGTATTCACAAGATGTGAAATTTAAGAATCTGACTTTTATAGCTCAAAATTGATTAGTTGAGAACAAGTTTTGCCATGAACAAATTTAAAATCAATGATTTGTGGAAGCTTTTTTTGGAGGACAGCAAAGATCAATTCTAACATGGCGGAATGATAAGTTACTTTCGTCTCCCGCTTTTAAAATTGCGTTGGTCCACTCTGTTAAGGCGAGAAACTGCCAAAAATTTGTTTGTCCATTTTAAGATCATGCCATACTGCAGTAAGGGTGGGAAAACGTGAAGCACCTCATGTTAAAAGGGCGGGAAAATATGGGCATTCGTCTTCCGGTGTTATTTTACTCTGGTATGGTCGTCGTCTTAAAAAAGGCGGGAAAATGGGTGGCATTCGTCAACTAATTTGCAACTGTGTGCGCGTGCACTTTAAAAGGCGGGAAATTTCTGTACGTTGCATTTTAGTGTTACCTTGTTTTTTAGGCACGTGCTGGATATCTGGAGAACAATGGCTGGCGAGTCGAACCTTTCGCTGAGTATATTTGACTATGTATTGGATTTATCGCTGCGATCTCTTCCATACCAGGAAAAACCAAAACCTAAAAATAAGAAGGAAACCATCAGAATAGCAACAGTACAACCTGTGGCGGTAAGTTTACCTCGAAATATGAATTTTCATAACTTTCTGCGATGTTTCCTTTCATGTTTGTTTTGAGAATTTGCTTGTTAATCAAGATTGGTGATGATTTTCCTTTCTCCCGTCTCTCTTATGTGTGACCAATCTTTGTAGTTCGTTGCCCTAATAGAACATAAAACACGCTGTCAAAGCGTATTACTCCGTCTTGCTGGATTGAATATCACAAATATGCCAATATGTCACTGATATGTCATTGAAAACATTTTTATCGCTCTAGTTTGTAAGAAAAACAGCACCTTGTGTTAATTTTGTTGGGTAAGGCGTATACAAAAACGTGAATAGAATTAAAGTCGTTTTTGATGTAAAATACGTTTATGCGTTAAACTTCTGATCTGGTACAACCCTTCTTTTCTGATACATGTAGATCACGTGTGGTTTGACAGAGATGTTTCGTTCGGAGGAGACTGGGGACCTTGTTGTGGAGCATTTTCCTCGTCTTTTCGCCATGACCGTACTACGTCTAGGCACCTCAGTGGGACTTCTTCCTCCCGAGCCGCCACAGTCCGCAGGGAAGGACAAGCAAAAGGGACCAAAGGTGGAGCCCCTTGGGTGAGTCCACCTAGTGTAAATTACCTAAACACATGCTTTCTTGGCGAATTATCATGCAGTTAGGCCTTGTTAGAGATATTTCTACCGACACGTGTTTTGTTGAACCTGTTTTGGACTCGGTGGAGACCGGCAATAAAATATTTTCTGAGATTCCTCTGGGAATTGGCCGAATCGGTGGTTGACACCACAGAGGTTGCTAGGTAACCTTATGTATCCTGGTGACGACAAGTTGACGTGACGTCGGTCGATGGACTTGCACTGTCTTCTGGTTGTTCGTTAAGATTCGGAAACTGTTCGGGTGCCAAGATGTGCCTGACGATTAGTCGACGATTGCTGGAGGATTTCCCGTGGATTTGGTCGACCAGTGAACCAAAGGTGTAAAAGTTATCAATTTATTTTCTTTTGTGCTTTTGTTTTACAGCACGGCGGTAGAGTGTATCAAAGAACTGATCATAAGATGCAAGTACGACACGCTGATGCAGTTGATCGAGAAGGAAGATGGCTGGAAGCTTTTTGAAGACGAGAAGACATTTCCTGATGGTGTTGTTGTCATCGCACGGTACGTTAATAACTCAGGTCACTTTTCACGAAGACTTTGTTCTCTTGTTTTCAACTGTCAGATGTCGCCAGTCACTAGTTAAACAAACAGATACCTGATCTGTGGTTTGCATTTTTAGAAGGTCAGTAACATGGACATTAATTCACCCACAAAGTGACAAGGTTGTTGCAGGTTTGAAGATCAGGGCGACAGGTGATTCACAGCTTAATGGCAGCACTACTGTGCCACGTGCAAATTTGGAGCCGTTTTCAGCTTTTTGGCTGAAATTCGACAGTCTTCTGAGATTTAAATAAGAATAAAGAGCTTGGTATTGTACGGGCTTAAATGGTGGGCGGAAGGCCGGTGGCCGTTTGTCAGCACAAGTCCTTGCATGGGCTAAATCTATGGATTTAATCGTGAATCTTAACACTTGCATCTTGCGTGCTAGTGTTCAGACAAAGCACATAACTGATAATCATGATTATGCCCCATTTTCTAGGGCCTTATGCCAAGCTGTTCCTCAGCAAGTTCCTAAAGTGGTTGAACAGTTGAACCCCACGCTCTCCAGTGTGTATGATGCACAAAGAATCGTAGTGGCCGCATTCTTTGCAGAGGTATGCCGGGAAAGCTTATATTATTTACCTTGTTATGTTAACATATCTTTTAAGCAATTGCTAAGTTCACTTAACTGTCAAACTGTCAGTGAATGGGTTTGAGTAACATTTAGGTAACTCTTTATATTCTTTCAAAATAGAATCATTTTGATTTACGCCACACCGAAACGCCGTTTCAGATGCGGCGAGAGCAAATCAAATGACACACGTAAAACATAACAACTTCGCAGGGGGAGACATTGTACTAAATTCGTGATCAGGTCGTGCGTCTTAAAACAGCGGCAAATTTGTGAGCGCGTCGCGTCGGCTGGAATTATGTTGAGTTCAGTAGTAGCTCTCGTAAGCGGACACCCAGGACGCTAAAAATGTGTCCGTAACTGGCGCTGGACTCTTATGATAAGGGTTCACGTAAGCGGCCACTAGAGGTATAAGGGACCGCTTACAGGCGTGCCTACGAGAGTATCAAAGAGCTTCCACTGTCAATTTGGAAACTAGAATACATTGTTCAGTTGTTGGGTGTTACAGTGAGTGTTTTGTAAGTGACACACATGAAGCAGTAAATTTTGATTCAGAACGTTCGTCACTATTCTCGGGGAAACAAAATACACCATTTTATTCAAATGGGAGCGGGGATGGCACAGTGGTGAGAGTGCTCACCTCCCACCAATGTGGCCCGGGTTCGATTCCGGCCCGGTGTCATATGTGGGTTGAGTTTGTTGTTGGTTCTCGCCTTGCTCTGAAAGTTTCTCCAGGTTCTCAGGTTTTCCTCCCTCCACAAAAACCAACATCTTTAAATTCCAATTCGACCAGGATAGAGTACCCCCATGAAAACCAGCTAAGGCTGATGTGATTTCTTTCTAATTATTTTAATTTATTATTCAATACTTGTTGCTATCACCATTGCTCATTGTTTCTTTTTTCGCTTTTGTTTACCAGTTAATTGATCAGAAGTGCGGTGGTAAAGTAGCTGTTGTTGAAATCCTCATGAACAGCTTGTTGAGTCGACTGGTCGACTCGTCACATGTTGTCCGCAAATTCTGTATCAGGGGACTGGGCAACATTTCTAGCGTGGAAGACTCTCAGGTAGGGTATATGGGTGTAAATTTCTTCAGACAACGCTGAAAGTACGAATTTCCGCATGTATCAAGATTATTCTACATAGAGAGGGTTAGAAAGAAAGCAAACTGATATTTAATATTGCAAAATACTAGCGAAAAAATGTAATCAGATACTCCTGACGTTGGATCAGTCTTCAAAAGTCTTTTTTCGGTGCATAGAGGTGTTTTTTGGATTAAAGTAGTCTATCCACACCCTTTCTTGTCTGCCAGTAAAGGCAAAATAGAGGGTTTGTGGATAAACTACGATTAAAGAGAGACATCCCTTAACATTACTGCGAAAAGCAGGATGCAGTAGAATGAGAATTTCATATGTTGAAAAAGTTGTTGCGAATTTTTTATGTATAAGAAGTTATGTTGAGAATTTCTTATGTTGGTAGGGATTGTCTGTGGGGATCAAAAAACAACGACTGTGGGGCTTTAGCTTTGTTTATTTCCACAATGTATTTTTTATTTAAGCAGTATTTTCCTCGAAATTTGCTGTAAGAGCGTGACATGCTCATCAAGAGAGCTTATGTCGTTTACAATTTATTATTACTATTTTACTTTGTTCATCGCACATCGTGTGGAAAACTACTAATAAATAACGAGGAAAAAACACGCCAAAAACTAGCGTTCAATGAAGAAATACCCATAACTTGTTTGCCTGGTGCACAAATTCTCTACAATGAATAACTTTCGATGAATCTCTTTTCAGTTGGAAAAATACTCAACCACAATTTTATCAGCCATGATGGCTGGTATGGATGACAAAGATGATTTGGAAGACGAGATAACGCTGGAGGCCATGTCCGGACTGGCTAAAATTCTGGCTAAATTGGACGAGAATAATGTGCGACAAATACTCATCAACATTTGTCTTAGAATCAGACCGTGCTTTGAGAAGGTGGGTGTAAAAATTACAGTTAATAAGCCTGCAAGTAGGTTCACGTTCGGCGCTTCCGCACCAGATCCTCCCTGCTGGATTGCTTCGCGTGCGTGTGTGACTCGAAGGTGAGCCTACTCGCAGACGGGTTAATATTAACCAAGCGTGAGGTCAAGATGGCTGGATATTGGCCAAGCTCTTTTTTGCCTGTTTATGGACCGAGACGGAGTCGAGGTCCATAAACATGCAAAAATAGAACGAAACCAATATCTAGCCTTCTTGACCGAGCAAGCTTGATCAAAAAGGATTTATTATTTGAAAAAAAACCCGCTATTTTCTTGCGGGACACCACGGGTATTTCCGAGCGGATAAGATAGCTCCATGTTGCCCGCTCAGGTAGTCAATCACAGCGTAGGATTTGGTTCATCTTGCCCGCTCACGGAGCTAGTCATATAGGACTTTGAATAGTTTTAAACGTGTGCGCTCCTGAAATTCTCCTAACGCCAGCATATTTTTCTGTGTGATTCAGTTTCATTTTTGTCTCATTCTCCTCAAAAATTGTAGATGTAATTCTTGTTTTCTTTGCTTTTTGCTCGTTTGAACTTTTAGGACAAGGATGCAGTTCGGGCCGCGGCTTTCACCTTATTTGGGAAGCTGTCTCGTTTTGGTGATGGCCCGTCAAAAGCTCCGTTCCTGGAGCAAGTTCACACAAACTTGATAAGTGTTCTTCTACATTTGAATGAAGAGGATGAAGTCATTAAGGTATAAAGTTATTTATGTATTCACCATTTATCGAAACTGGACTCCCCAAGACAGCTGTTACGATCTTGATGACAAGGTCAATGCCCAAGCAGCTGTCATTTATGAGACAGCATTAATCTGTAACGTCAGGTTTTGTGCCAGTGGGTGTGAAAGCTAACGCGCGCGAAAACTTCCCGCGCTTTTTGCAGCCGTCCGCGTCGCTGAAACTAGAGAGTTGATAAGAACTACAACAGGAGCAGCTCTACAAGTTGCCACGTATCATTAAGGTGGCCGAACACAGTTTTCGCGCGCGCTTTTGCTAATGCAATTTAGTTAGCGCGCGCACAAGGACTGCAAGAAACAAACATGCCGTCAATAGAGCGATCATTTTATTTACTCAACACCCGCAGTATCTGTGCTATTTTTCTCTATA